GAATTTGGGGCCCCGGCGAAGATCACTGCTACTGTCCCCCTAGATTTTTGGAATCCTTGTCTTCGTGGTTGTCTTTATCTTTTTTCTGATTGTCTTCTTTAGTGTTTTCCTTACTATCTTTTCTTATGTATTGATCATTGAAGGTGTAGCAATTTCCGATGGTGTGATTTCCTTTAGGATGCCAGATGCAATGCATGTTTTCAATGTCGTCATATCTTTTAGGTTTGGAAAACTTCCTTGATTTGTCAGCCACCACTATGGTGTTGTCTGGTTCACGTTTCCTTTCCTGATGTCTGTTGTTTCGATGATTTTGCTTGTCCGGGTTGTCTTGGTTGTTTCTATCCGGGAACCTTTCTCGTGTCTTCTCCTCTGCAGTAATCATTTTTTCTACCGTGCGTCTGAATTCTTCATTGTTTCTCAGATTTTCTTTGCAAAAGTCTTGAAATTGCCACCTAGCCATGATTCCGTGAGAGAAAGCTTCGATTACTTCTCGTTCGGTGATGTCATGTACTTGAGCACTTAGTTCGCCAAATCATCGATAGTAATTTCTGAGACTTTCGCCCCCTCTCTGCTTGAGTCCTTTTAATTCTGCGTTGGTGATGGGGTGCGTAATGATACCTGCGAAATTTTCATAGAAAACTCTTTGCAAGTCCTCCCAATTTCTGATTGATCCTAGATTCAATTTGTCGAACCATTGGAGGGGCATGGCTTCTAGGGCCATGGGAAAGAACAAGGTTTTGATATCATCGTCTCCTCTGGCTAGTTCAATCGATTGCGAGTAAATCCTGAGCCACTGCCTTGGTTCGGTCTTGCCATCATATTTAGAGTGGTTGGACGGCTTGAACTTGTGAGGTAGTCATATTAAAGCAAGTTTGTTTGCAAAACAGGGGAATCTATCGTGCGTTATGGCTTCTTTGTACTCTGATTTAGCACCCCCTTCTAGCCAACTGTTGTTTTGACGAGAGTAGTTCTACGGGGCTGTCTGAATGGGTGCTTCGCTTATGATCTTTCTTGGTTGTTCGACTCGGTAGTTTTGACTGTGGTCCCTTCTACTTTCTCTGTTGTGACTTCCACTTGGCCCAAGTCTCTCGAAAGCGGACTTCCTTTGATTTTGATCTTCCTTCCTATGAGATGTTGACTTGGCAGGTAGTCTTGAGCGGGTCCTTCCGTCGTGCGTCCTTAGGGCTATAGCCCGGAGAGGGTCCTAGAGCTGTTCCTGTTGTTCACTGGGATACGAGGTCGTTCCGAGTTCTTCTAGTGCTTCTTGGATCCTATTGTAGGGTGTGTTCACCGCACGTCTTTCTTTGACTTCTTGTTCTGATTTTCTTCTATTGTACTCAGCCAGATCTGACTCATATCTGATCCAAGCTTCCTTGTGCTGCCTAGCAGGGCGTTGGCATCCTTGTTTTAATTTGTTTCTTCTTTCTCTGGCTTGCCTCTGATTCTCGGTCTCACCATCATAGCCCTGGGCAAAGGGTGATATGTTGGACTCAGATTCATCTGATGACCTGATGTCGGGTGCTTCTGGGGGACCAATGGTGATTGAGGACGGCGAACCATGAGTACTTCTCGTGCGTGAACTGTTCTGTTATCGGCGTTGGTTTCCACACTATCGGAGTTGCTGATAACTTTAGTAGAGGCTTCAAGGTCGTAGATCAAGTCTCCTTCTTGGTAGGGTAGAATTGCTGTTGTCGTCGTGCCGACTAGTCGGGTACTGCTATCCTCAGGAACAGAACCTAGCCACTGGACGATGCAGTCTTGAGATGTTATAGTTAGTACGAGACCTTCCTGAGCTCCTTTCAGTGGCATTCTAAGCACCGGATTGAGGGATCCTTCGAGCCGTGCCTGATAAGACTTTGCCATGTTGTGGAGTCCGAATGGAAAAAGACCCGACTTCTTGAAAGGACTCTGAGTGAACTTCGAGTTGTATTCTTGATAGGCCAAGGCCGCGTTCTAGAGCCCCACTGGAAAAGAACTCGGTTTCTCGAAAGAACTTGGGTAAGACTCCATCTTGGATGTGGAGCCTAAGTTTGAGTCGGATGTGCAATGCCGCGAAATCTAAGTTGGATCGGACATCACGAGCTGCGCGAATCTTCCAGCGAGTTGATCTGTCGTAGTCACCGAAATAGAAAGGTCTTCATGGTGAACCGAATCTTCGAGGAGACGGCTTTGGAGCTTGCCATCGTCGCCTGCCTCACAGATCCATGAACCGAAGATGAAGGTTGATCCCGTCGAGAAGATCATGTTGTCGAGGTCCGTCGAGCTCTCGGATGCAAATTCGCCGAAAGCCCCTACCTGGCGCACCAGCTGTCGATGTTTCACCACCGATAGCCTACCACGGGGGTACCTGGGGCAGTTTGTTCGGGCCTCAGCGTATGCAGAACTCGACGGTAAACGCAAGAGACAGTCGATTTATCCTGGTTCAGGCCCTCGACCGTGATCGAGTAATAGCCCTACGTCCAGTCGGCGTTAGCCTTTGCGTTGGATTGATTGTCCGCTCTTGTCTCCAGGAACCCCGCCCTCCTTTATATAGTCAGGAGGTTAGAGTCCTAGTTGATTTACAATGAGAGTTTCTAGTAGGATTACAGAATAATACTACTACTAAGATTACATGAAAAGAAACCTAGTTAGACTAGATCTTCTCTCTTCCTTGCGGGGTATCCCATGGGTCCCGCATCGACAGCCTTCCTGCCCTGTCTACCACTGTCAGATACTCAGATCCTTCTATTGGCAACAGTGGCTGTCCCCATGCCAGATAGATTTAGGTTCAGCAAATCGCAGGGTGCACCATCCCCATTTTTCTAGAGCCCAATCCAATTTTTGATAGCTTTTAGAGATATAGTTACACGTGCTCCAAATATTTTATTAACGTGTCCCTTGTCCTAATATATCTCTAGTATTTTCTCAAACTATTTGGAGGCTTGACTATATTTTCTATATTTTTAAAACCACTCGCTTTTAACTAGAAAAGGACGGCATGGCTCAAAACCATTCTTGAGACCACTTTTCACCTGTGTATGGCGGTAATTTGTCACATTTTGAAAGATGGGGTCGGATATTTCTAGTTTTTTTAGTCAATGGAGCTATGGAGAAGGAGGTGGGGGGTAGACTCAACGACCAAGTTCAGGGATCAAACAGACTTCATTCTTAAATCTATATTCAGACTTTTAGTACGTGTGTCTGTTAATGAAGGACCGATAACGGTGGCCAGAGAGGGGGTGTTTGAATGGGAGCCTAATTTTTCTTTCGAAAACTTAAGCCGCTATCCCAAATCAGCACGAACCTCTCTGGACACCCCGTAATCAGTGCCACAACCGGTGGTGCACCGGATACCACCGGTGCTCTTGAGCAAAGGAGAATGGGAGCAAGGCTCTCTAGAACGCAGCTCCGGTGACCCAAAACCGGTGCACACCGGTTTGCACGGTGCGCATGAAGAGAGAAGACAAAGAGCAAGGAACTGCACTCGCTGCTCACAACACGCACCGGTTGCATCCGGTGGTGTAACCGGTGCTCAAGACCGGTGCACATAGGTTTCACGGTGTGCACGACCAAAACAGCAGCAGGCGAAGAATAGCACTGCGTTGAGCCCAACACGCACCGGTCGGTTTCGGTACAAGGACTGGTGAACCAAAATCAAACGAATCTTGGCCAAATCAAAACCAACTGCCACAATTTTTACTAGAGGGACACAAGGCAGCAGGTGGGCTATCCCTAAGAAATCATCGCCCAAGACTTAGCCAAACCCCGGGAAATTTCAAATATCGTGAAGAACTCGGTGTTTCCTCCCCAAAACGAAAATCGTCCAGATCTATGAGCTCGTGTTGATTCAATTGAATTCACTCGGTGAACAAGATCAACACATGTCCTAGCTCATCTCTGATCGAATTGAACGAAACCACACCAAATCGACTTTACCAAGAGATCGAAGCAAAACGGGGGAGAGAGAAACCAATAACGAAGAACACCAAAACACGAATCACAAGAACAAGAACTCGGATTTGAATTGCAGAGGACAACGAGAGGTAAGGGCCTCTCTTCCCACGAGAATCACAAGTTCAAAAGATCCGGTTACACAGGCTGCGGCTAGTTCATATGTGGACCTCTCAGTAGAAGACTAGAGGAAGAAAAACTAAGAGATAAAAAAAATGAAATGCTAGAGAGATATGACCGATTGGGGCAACCGTTCTCTTATTTGTATTGTTTATTACACATTCCCAATATGCCCTAAGTATTTAGAGTGAACCACCTAACCCAAAGGCTATTGTGGCCCAATTCAGAGATCCACTCATCCGACTTAGCTTCGCCTCGACACAAGCCTCGCGATGACGCCAATGCCGCCTTCGATTCCCGCCGGAACCGCACCCGGGTTTTGAGGCCCAAACCCAAAAACCGTCCACTAGTGATTTTGAGGCCCAAACCACCAAACCGTTCGACACGTGTCACTGTGGTCAACACGGTTACTCCCATGTACTCTTGCACTTGCCAATGACCCCAGGTGTCAGCCACCTACGGTCGGTCACCTGGCTTCTCCGATCCCTCGATCCAAACCTCGGCATCCGTCCTTCACCGCTCCTAGTCCATTAGCACCGACCCGCTTGACCTTTACCTTCGCCGTCAACCATCGTCTCCGAGCTCCACACCTGTGCACCACAACCCAAGAGACATGTTGCACAACCCAACTCATGCCTCGGTTAGTTCAAACAACTCAACCCAAAGCGCTTGTTGACAATCACTTGTCACAAACCTAACCACATGGGTACATATCGACCATGTGTTCGTAGTTAAATTGCTAACATGTACAGAGCACGAGTTGATAGATGATAGATTAGTTTATGACAAAATATAGTATTTTTAGTTAGGATGGTCAGGTTGCGTTCTGCATGCATATAAGGCGGTAATTATTATGGCTGAAGTTTTTCCTAGAAAAAATATAATATTTATTTCATAGATCATGGTTAATAACAGGTTTACCCGTCGCCATTTCACGTACCATCCCCATGATGTCCGGCGTTAGAGTGTACAACATGTCATGGAAGGCACCAGGCCGGTCTTTTACTGGCTCGCCTTACGTACAACTAAACTTCACTGGCTGTGACTTCGATGCTTATCATGTGGATGACGTTCACTCAAGGACTTTGATATGTAGTGTTACCTGCCCCAGCGAAGGGATCGCGGAAACCGTTGCCAAGCATCAGTGCAACGGCACCGGGTGCTGCAGCCATACTCAAGAAACTACATATCAAGAAAGTGATATTTCCAGCTTGAACCTCCAGTTCGTCAGGAACGATAACAAGCTTGAAGACAGACCTGATGATGCTGAAGCACAACCATCTAACCTGAGCTCTCTATGGTCCAGAATCAGCATTGAAACCGATTCCATGCTGCTTTATTGGGGTGTCCTACTGGATAATCACCAAAACTGTGCCGCTGCGTCGGAGAACAAGACCAGCTACGCTTGTGTGAGCGAGCACAGCACATGCTCATCTAATGTGTACGGGATTTACCCTACATACTTGTGCATGTGCGCTGATGGGTATGTCGGCAATCCTTATGTGCATGCATATGCTGGTGGTTGCTTGCCTGATCATAGAGGTAAACTACCTATAATTGCTTGATATTAGCTGTCATCAAAACATTGCCACATTTAGTTGTTGTTGTTTGAACAGCTATTGGCTATGCAATTAACTTGTTCTCAAACAATTAACAGTGTATAATCCAAAACCACGGAAGGTGAATTGTCGTCGATCATGTGGGAACATCAGTGTTCCATTCCCATTCGGCCTAGAAGAAGGCTGCTCTGGAAGAGAAGAATTTCAGCTCAACTGCACTGAAGTGGCATCCTCAACGCTTACATTTCTATGGAATCAATACGTTGTGTCAGACCTCAATATTGGCAAAGGCGTCCTGGTCGCTAGCGTTAACAGTTCTATGGAAGCAAGAGATCGTTCTGGTCCTTTCTACACTGCTTCTGTAGTCACTGAGGATTTTCATTGGGCGGTATCCAATCTGAGCTGCCAACAGGCACAACAGATATCATAGCATATGCGTGTGTTAGTGCAAACAGTACATGCTTAGATGTCAACTACATAGATAACGTCCTTGGAGTTTATACCTACATTGGCTATCGACGCAAATGTGTGTCTGGCTTTGATGGAAACCCATATATCCCAAACGGTTGCCAAGGTTCACTCTCTCATACAAAAACTACACACACGTACTCTTTTGATTGATTCTTTTTCCATCTTATAGAACGCATGTGGATGCAGATATTGATGAGTGTGAAACAACACCAAGCATCTGTGAAGGACCCTGCCACAATACCGTAGGAAGTTACTACTGCACAAAATGCCCTCACAAGACACAGTATGACACTGCAAGAAAGCAGTGCACTCAAGAAAAAAGACAAAGAAATCTTTTGCTTGGTGAGTTTGTACTCGTTGATTAGATTTCACAATGACCGCTGTCTCACAAAGACATTGAGAAGTATAACTTTCCATTATAGGTATTGTGATTGGACTTAGCGTTGGCTTTGGAATTCTACTTCTTGGTTTGTCTACCACATTTTTTGTCAATAGATGGAGAAGAGAAGTTGAAAGGAAATTGCGTCAGAAGTATTTTCGTGAGAACCAAGGCCTTCTACTAGAACAGCTAATATCATCAGATGAAAATGCTAGTGACAAGACAAAGATTTCTCTTTGGAAGAGCTAGAAAAGGCCACAAACAACTTTGATGAAACACGCATCCTTGGCCGTGGTGGGCATGGTATGGTTTATAAAGGCATTTTATCTGATCAACGTGTGGTGGCTATAAAAAAGTCAAAGATAATAGAGCAAAATGAGATCAATGAATTCATCAATGAAGTTGCCGTTCTTTCCCAGATAAACCAAGGTCCCACTATTGGTATATGACTTTGTTCCCAATGGTTTGCTATTCCAAATTCTTCATTCAAGTACATTTAGCGACTTCTCTTTGTCCTGGGATGATTGCCTAAGAGTTGCCACCGAAGCTGCAGGAGCTCTTTGTTATATTCACTTTGCAGCTTCTGTATCAGTCTTCCATCGTGATGTCAAGTCATCTAATATACTCCTTGATGCAAACTACACCGCTAAAGTTTCAGACTTTGGAGCTTCTAGATTGGTTCCTATTGATCAAACCCATATCTCTACACATGTTCAAGGCACATTTGGTTACTTAGATCCGGAGTACTACCATACTGGGCAGTTAAATGAAAAGAGCGATGTATATAGTTTTGGAGTAGTTATTTTGGAGCTCCTCCTACATAAGGAACCTATTTTCACTGATGAGTCAGGTTTAAGGCAAAACTTGTCAAGTTACTTTCTATGTGAGTTGAAGTCAAGGCCACTTGAGGAGATAGTTGCTGCTCACATTCGCGAAGAGGCAACCAAGGAAGAGATAGAAAGTGTTGCATCCCTTGCTGAGATGTGTTTGAAACTTAAAGGTGAAGATAGACCTACGATGAAGCAAGTTGAGATAGCATTGCATGCTGTGCAAATGAAAAGGTCAAAGTTGTGAAGAATTGCTCCAGAAAATGATGAAGAGATGCAACTGTTGCTATATTCAAGAGCTCAGGAGCTATTAGGCACTTAGGTGGACTAACCAAGCCATGGATGCTACAGCTTGGAGCAAGAGTTCTTAGCATCTGTTGAGTTACCATGATTAATTTTCTCATGAACTTCTCAATGCTGATCTCCCTGAATGTCCTAAACTCCTAATATTGAGATTATTTTCCTTCATTTTTTTCTGTTTTTGGAGTTTGGTGCTCAGAATGTTCTTAGGCCATTCCCAGTGCATGGGTTGATTGTGTGGTTTCGAAGGGTGCACATCATCTAAATAGGAGTGGTCTTGTTAATGAATAACAAGGTCTCCTAGTGTACTGTTTCATACTTTCATTTCATAGTTTCATAAGCTGTCTATAATGTTGACAGCATGATGTGGCCTGTAATTGTTACTAAATCGAGTACTGGAATACCTGACCATCTAATAAAATTGAAATATAATGTTGGCAAATAATGTTGGCAACAAAATTTGAATTAATTCACACTCCAATAATCATACTATATAAATGAATCAACCTATCTCAATTGGAGATTTTCTTAGGGACCTTGATCTTTGCCAGATATGCTCAACCAAATCTTTCTTATGTTGTAGATGAGCTAAACAATCCCAAATCTAGGCATCCTTTTCTAGCACTCTTCAAGGGAGATTTCTGTTGTTTCGACAATAGTGGTGCTTGGACCCTCATTCAAATCAAGATTCTCTTCAGTGTCCCTGCCTTACTCGTTTTCCCTTTTTGATGCGTGATCAGTCTCTTGTACTAAAATGGGCCGGCATAGGCGTCCAGCCCTGCATTCTCCAAGTCTCCTGTGTCGGTGCCTAGCATCATGATATTGCGGGTTGTGGCTGCATGGCCAATATATGCAGCTCAAACGAATGCAGCAAGCATTTTTTTTCTTTTTCTTCTGTTGGGATAACCACATTAACACACTTGTTAGTAATAGCAAAATCGCTTAATTTCATCACAATGCGAAATTAGCCTAGGTCGTCACCTACTCACGGAAGAAAACATATGCATCACACATATATGGAGGAAATAGCAGTAGTCACAACCGGTCCCAATCCGTTGTTATCACATCAACCCAGTTGCAGCTGATTGCAACTAATCACAACAGCACCAACAGCAAGCACAACTAGTTGCAGCAAATCACTTACAACTGCAGTCGCAACTAGTTGCAGCCAAACTTGCATCAATAATAAGACACCAGATTTAATGTGGAAAACCCCAAATCGGGGTAAAAACTACAGGACCAAGCTAGCCAAATCTTCTTCCACTATATGCTTGTGGGATTAGAACAAGTTCATTTCTAGTTAGCACCGGAGGCAACCATACAACAAGATACAACAGATCTTGTATAGAAACAATAAGATTTGAGGCCACTACTTAGGGAGTGGAAAGACATCACCAAATGATGGTGGAACTTAGATTAGAGGCACCAAGGATGTGGATCTGAAGCTTCACAACCTTGAGGATAAACCCTTCTTGATCTATTGCAAGATCTCCTCTCTAATCTCACTCTTCTCCCTCTTTTTCTTTTCTCTGGTTTTTTTCCCTCTCACGCAAGGAGAACAAGGGGCTGAACCGAGTTGTCTTCACTCACACACACCAGGAGTGGCTGTACTGTGCTGCTACTTCCTCTCACGATGAGGCAAGACTGAAGTAGTGGTCCTGCTGTCCAGATGCTTCTTCCTTCTCCTAGAAGCCAAAGAAGCAAATACTAGATGCACACAAGTTTGGTCCACTTTCTTGTGCTACACCATGACATGTGGGGCTGCTCTCTGGGAGCAATTACTCTCCCCATGGCCCACTCATGAGGAGGATTTCCCAACATCTTCTTCCCCTAATTACTACATGATGTTTTTCTCCTTTCCATGCTCACACGCATTGGAAAAATGTATGGACTATGAAAGTCCTTCCCAAGGACTACACAGAGTTTATATTTCTGAAAAAACTAAACATTTGATCAAAGCTTCGACAGCTAAGGCCTTGTTTGGATGCATGTGTATCCACTTCAATCCACATGTGTTGAAGTGGATTAAAATGAATACATGCGCATCAAACAAGGCCCAAAAGATTTACCCCACGTGCCCAAATAATGGTGATTGTCTCAAGCTATTCTCTAGTGGGTAGTAACATGCTCATTAATTTAATTAGATGTCATGTTTGGTTTGAGGTAAAAGGAAGGAATGAGAGACTTTAGAGTCAGGAGTTTAAAAATCTTATATTTGTTTCATGGGACTACGAGTTTTGTGGATGTGGTCGGCCTGCTTCCTCGCCCTTGCGGACCATAGCAGCGTCTTGGTGCCCTGTGCCATGCGGCGCCTCGGCACGGAGGCATCCCCAGGATTGAGGAGAAGTTTCGAGAGATTAAGAAAAGTATAGGAAGAAGGGATTAGAAAGGGACAACTAGACATTTTTTCCTACTAAATCCTAGTTATAGAGAAAGGGGATTGACTTTTTTCAATCTAATGAGATGCTCACTTGACTACTATTCGAGTGCTACTTTTCTTGGCAGTCTCATATGGTCTTCTCATTCATCAAATGGATGTTAAGACTTTCATGAATGGAGAGTTTAAGGAAGAGATCAATATGGATCAGTCAGATGGATTTATAGAAAAAGGTTAGATGGAATGATGTGTAAACTATTGAAATTTTTGTATGACCTAAAGCAAGCACCTAAGCAATGGCCTGAGAAGTTTGATAGATTTTTGACATCTGCTGGCTTTGTTGTGAACAAAGTTGATAAGTGTGTGATCTTGTGCTTATAAGTTGATGATATACTGATTTTTTGGGACAATTTTAATGTGCCTATGTGCTTCACACCCGCACGCCAACACAGCCAAGAGACATGTTGCACACGCACTCACACAATGGTTAGTCTTCCAATTCAACTAAAGCCGATCATGTCCTGATAATCACTCATCACAACTCGACACATAAGGGTATATATGAACCTTGTGTTCGCAAAGTTTTATGTCTGTCTATAGTTGTGTCTTTTAGCTAGGTCATCTGAATTAGGTTGGCTTAGTGGTAATTGGTAAAGGACAGTTAGTAGGTTCCGGACTTGTCTGTTGCTTCCTGAACATGTCTCTGAATGTTGTATTTTCATTATATGTTTATATGCTAATGGAACGGGGCACTAGCGCCGGACGTCTGGTGCTCGCAACGCATCCGGACACATCTCCCAATCCCAGCCAACCAAACCGGTTGGCATCGTGGCCCACCAACGGGATCATCTCAGCTTTCTGCGTAAAATAGAAAACTAAAAGGGGCCAAAGTGCTACCTGCTTGCGTAACAGAAGGGGACAGCGTGCGCTCGCGTCAGCTCCGCAATCCCCCCGCGCGTCCTGTCCACTGGCCCCCGGTCCCCGGCGCACCCCGTTCGCTGGCCCTCGTTGTGCCCCCTCCATAGTCTAAGAAGGATGCAAGGCAGCAGAAGGCGAGGAGGAGGCGAGGCAGCATAAAGCGAGCATAGAGATGCAACACCTGATCTACTTTTAAAACATCCAAATACAACACTTGCAATATACGTCTGAAGACAGATGAAATATTTAAAACATGCATCTGAAACACTTGCAAAAACACCTGAAAGAAACACTTGAAAACAATTGTAACACATACGCAACATCCAGATAAAATGCTTGCAACATATATGTGAAATATATGCAATATCCAGATAAACACACATGCAACATACGTCTAAAAAAATAGATGAAACATTGAGAACAAATGTTTGCAACATATGTGTACAACCATTGCAATATATGCAACATCCCGATCTACTTTTGCAACATCCATACGAAACCCTTGCAACATACCTCTGAGACATATGAAACACTTGAAACATATGCTTGCAACATGAACTTTTAGCGCAAGCGCAATGTCACCTTGCTACTTGGACGAATGGAGCTTGTCGTTGTGGAGCTCGACACCAGCGCAGAGCTCGATGCCACGGAGTGCGTAGAGGTCACCGTTGCAGAGCTCGTCGGAGGCACGAACCTCGGCAGTGGCCGCGAGAGGTGGATGAAGCGTAGCCACGATAGGAGGCGCGAGTACGAGCTGGGGGTGTGTGGCTTGGGCAAGGGCGGCGCCTGCAAACAGTGAGGGCAGGATCTGTACTGTGACCGCGAGCGGGGCGCACAACACAAAGCGGCGTGGACGAGTGGATGAGGATGAGCCATGGGGTCCGGGAAGTCACGCGAGCGAGTGGACGAGGATGAGCCACATCTGGACAAACTACCACAAAGCTGAGATTTCGTGAGAGTGGAAATACCATCACAAAATATGGTTTTACCCTCATGAAAACAATACGTGACGACCAACCATCACACATTAGTCCTCATGATAATGAAGCTAGGAAAATACAGTTTTCATGAGGGTTAACTCTCATGATTTTTTTCGTGGCGAACGTCCACCACCTCCACGAAAATTACATTGTCATCAGGTTTGCAGGTAGCTTTTTATGGCGGTATTTTGTGGAGGTCACCATCATGAAATTAATTCGTGAGTCTCAAAACTCATAGGAAAATAGTATTTCGTGAGAAGGAGACATCACCACGAAAAAATGGTTGAACCATCATGAAATATAGTTTTCATTAGAGGAAGACACCACCATGAAAACATGTTCAACCCTCATGGTATATGGTTTCCCTGGGAGTCCAACACCACCATGAAAATATGTTCAAACCCTCATGAAATATGGTTTTCCTGGGAGTCCAGAACTGCTGCTAGGAACATTTATTTCATGAGTAAAACCTCCAGGAAAATTTTCAACCCAAATCTCAAATGCACCATATTTCAAAAGTCAATCCAACACAAATACAATTAGATTTCATAACATGCATATATTCAACTAATTTCAGTCCAAACATATCACAAAGTGTCCAACAATTGCACTCCAAACATATTACAAACTCTCTAACACCATTACATTGGTGAAAGGCAATATTGTCTCATAGTCATAGCCAACTAACAAGTCCCAGCACCTACATAGCTCTGAGGTCTACTTAGTACAACACCAAAAGGTTTTGTTTCAACCTAGGGTCGCTGGTTAGCAAAATAAGCCTAGCATCCATTAGTTTGGATCAAAAGAGCCCAAAAGTACGATGGTACCATGTTCAGGTTTTACTCCCATCCATTACATCAATTGTCATTGATATCATCCTCATTATCATCACTGTCATCCTCTTCATTGATGTTGTCCTCTTCATTACCAGTATTCATGTTGGCTTCTTCACTGCCACTAATGTCATCACTACCATCATCTTCATCAAAGTCATCAGAACTATGGTTGTCATCATCATAGCTATTGCTGTCATTCATCTCATCATAGTAGTCATCATCATCAACATCAGTGTCCACGATATCAGCACTAGTAAGTATTTCAAGTGGGTTAGTGCTGACATGTGATGATGCAGAAACCTAAAAAAGATCAATCATGGTCTTAGACTTCAAGTAAAAAGGATGGTTGTCATATTTATTTAGCTAAAATAGCAGGTGGTTGCCACATTTATTTAACCAAAACAGCAAGTGGTTGTCACATTTATTTATCTAAAACAGCAAGTATAAAGGATATATCCAAAACTAGACTCACATTTGTTTAACCAATTTCAGACATGAATAATACAACATTTATGTTGGCAGCCAGCCTCCCTGCACATGAGAGCAGTAGTCCAACCATACATTGGTTATAGGCTAGAGGAGGAAGAAGAGGGTTGATGACAGAGCATACACACACAAATGCAGCAACTGAACTGCTTCTCTCAGTTCCATTCCATAGAGTATACATCTAGGTGTAGTAGTTGAATAACTACAAGGTCAGGCTCAACTACTCTACATGGCTATTGACATACTCCTATAGTATATAGAGAGAACAGCAAAACAATTTACCTGATGATGACGGGCATCGATATTTGCTAGACGGTTCATCAGATCAGCAGGTAGAGGCTTTTTAAGATCCTCGAAAAGTCTCTAAAATTTGATGTGCAAACAAATCAGATCAATGCATATGACTAGTAAGTTGTAACATGGAGAGGGATGATTATTACCAGCATCATCTCATGATTAATACTATTTTCCTCAAAGAGAATCTCATTATTCTCATTCAACTTCTTGTTTGTTTCATTCAGTGCATCATTCCTCTCCTTCAATTGCTCATTTTCATGTACTACAGCTTGATAAGCAGCTGTGTTGCTTGAGCAAAAACGATTGGATTTAGCAGTTGTTGCAGGTGTTTGCTTATCCACATAACCATCAGCTATTGGCACGCGGCCATGTGCCATTCCACGTTCCATGAAATACAATGCTTGTACATCCAATTCTTTTGAATTTTCATGAAGTTGTGTTCTTGCACTGTAGTCATCCTAAAAAATACCAGAGCGAAATATGCATGAAATCAGTAAGGCTGTAACCATATAAAAATACAATCAGCAAGGTTGGAAGTGTATAAATATAAATTGAGATAGAAAATTGAGTGATACATACAAAACGGGTTTGTGCTCTCTGGCCGGGAATAGGAGCGCTTTTTCCACTACTGTCCACCTTTTGAATCCGGACTTCATTACAGCATATGTGTTCAAAGTGCTAGCCTTCTCAGGGCCGAATTTATATTCCTACAAGACCACGAAATGAAGTTACATGATGTTTGAAACTTGGGCCAGCTAAATCTATGTGAAATCATGTGTGTGTGACATTCACATTTGGATGTAAGCAATCTTAGTAGTATAAGCAAAAGACAACAGGATAAGGATTTCATACCAACAATTATTGTGTCTCTCCCCATGGCCTCGATCCTCCTCTGTTCTGAGCAACATCTTCAGACTTTAAGCATGAAGCTTGAGCAGCCTTCCTCTTTGTCTTGTACTCTTCAGATGTCCAATGCTTCGATAGAAAGACCCAAGCATCATTAGCGCACCAACTTAGCTTGCTGGTTATGTATTGTTCTTCTGTAAGATGTATAGCGCATGCTTGATTGTCATCACAGTCCTCATGAATCTTTACAGCGTCCAAATGAGCCTGATATATCAAATCAGAAACTCTTTTCACTAGATAAGCCTCCAAATTGCGGTCGGCTTTTCTCACATCAGCTCGGGTTACCCTGAACAAAGTCTATATATGTAGCAAAGGAAATGTCAGCTATTTCCAGTAAAATAGAAGGGGCAATCAATATGTATGATGGCTAGTTTAATTACCCAGAATTCACACTTGACTAGTTTAGCATATGTTATTCCAGTGACATCCTTTTTGTAGTAATAATCATGCCATGATATTGCTGCCCGTTTTTCAACAATCCTGCCTTGGTCATCACGGATATCAATCATACCAGGATAGTACCGTTTGATAAGAACTCCAACCTGTGAACCATACTTGTAGTCTTTAGGGTTGTAGTTCACGTAGGTGAATTGGCTGTAACAAAGAATATAATATGTCAACTTGCAAATTTAGTAAGGAAGTAGTGAAATTGATTAGAATACAACATGTGCACATCTTTGTAATATGCTGGAGGTAGCAGAATAGTATATAGGTGAATCAAAAGGAAACTAATGGCATAATATTGAACTAGCAGGAAATAGTAGAAAAGGGAATTCAACACTAAAAGGTGACAAAATACTGAACCAACAGTGCAGATCTTGGTACTGCTAACACACTAGAGATAGCATAAATAGTAGAAAAAGGGTATCAGCAGCAAAAGATCACAAAAAATTGAACCAACAGTGCACATGCATGTACTAGCAACAAAATTGAGGTAACAGATTTAGTAGCAAAAGGAAACCAGTAGCATAAATCATTAATGACAAATATAATATTGAAACTGCATGTACGCACCGGCTACCCACAGGCTTCAGCATAACCTTCCGACTAGGTGGAGGCACTCTCAATTGCGTCAAATTTTTTTCCTCTCCCTCTTACTTTTTTTGGAGGCTGGTCCATAACTTGTCAAGTGTCACTTCCACCATCATTCAAGTCATCAGAACCACCATTGCTCATTTGTGTGTTAATCTGATCATCACTAACCCTTTGAGAGTTGGCAGTGCCACCATCAGCATTGGTCTCTTGGGAGTTCCCACTAGCATTGGTCAACAGTTCCCACCATCAGCATTGGTCCTTCGGGAGTTTCCACCATTAGCATTGGTCTCTTGGGAGTTCCCACCAGCATTGGTCCTTCAGGAGTTCCCACCATCAGCATTGGTCCCTTGCGAGTTCACACTAGTGGCTCCATATGCCATTTTTCTTGCAAGCCCTCTATGTCGAAGCCCGTACATGTCCTGCATTATTACAAAATGAAGATTAAAGGGCACATATTTTAAACTAAATATATACTAATGGAAACATGAATGCTAGATGAAAAGGCATGTAACGCTTTCTTTGGTTTCAGATAAATAACAAGTAAGCATTCAGCAAGCAATACATCAGTACATTCAGCAGTACAACTAGTTTTTTTAATAGAAAACATGAATCTAAAAATCATTTGGGTCATTAGGTGCATATTCATGCAGATCGTCTTGGTCATCATCTCTACTGTAAACCTTGTTTGCCTAACACAGTTGTGACATTTAGCACAAGGACTCTTGATGGTGCCATCTTCAACTACATTAGGCATAGAGAAAGCACGATCCAAAAACTGGTTGGTGTTTTCTATCCAATCATTAGAGGGGGCTCGTGTACGAGACCAACCCGTGTACATCCAATCACGTTCTACCATTGTTTTTGTTCTGTATTTTTTTATATAAAAAACAAATTTTAGATACACAGAAATTCACATCTATCAACCAAATACTAGCACCATTTTCTACAGATTTACCAAACAATCAAATACAGATTTACTAATATCAAGTAACTTCAATTCCCCAACAATACAGCACACACTAAGTCAATGATGTAGAAATATCAAGTAACTTCAATTTCCCCAACAAGCACACATGTAACAGCCCACAAATATTAATTATTTCTTTCAATTATTCAAAATCTAATATCTTCATGGATAAAGATAGTTTCTTAGACAAAGAATAAGGCTTTATTACCTCTGTTGGCTTGGAGGCAGTCAACACAGATGTGAGAATAGCTCCTTGTGTCTTGAGTCATCCTCTAGAGTTGATGTAGCTACTCCAGTGATGCCTGCTCCTTCAACCTTGGTGTCAAAGTCGGTGTAGTCCTCTTCTGCAAGCTTGGCTAGGCGTCGGTGCTGCCTTCTCCTCCTTAATTGAAGCTCGGTACCTTGTCCACCACACACTTGGATCATTGTCCGTGCTAGCTTCTCCAATCCCAGGGTCACCGATTAAGTTCAGTGCATCAGTATATAGAACACATAGTTTCATTTATGCAACAAATCCTAATGTTGCTAGAGCACAACACAGAAAAAAATGGAGAAAAGGATGGAGCTTCATTACCTCAGTCCTATTGAAGCCTACGACGTCAGCAGCAGTTGAGCCTGTCTCCTCTCCTCCGTCGTGGGCGCTGCCTTCTCCTCCACAAGAAGGGTCACCGGATCCATAGGGAAACACGCCGTCCTAGGCGGCCTACGAAGGGACTCCATCACTATGCAGGACCAGATCCAAGGGCGGAGGAAACCCACAACGAGATTGGGGCCTAGGGCGGCAGCGCCATTTGCGACGGCCGGAGTCGGGCTAGGGCGGCGTAGGCACTGCGTGGCAGCGGATTTGACGGGCACTGGTGACGGATGGAGAGTTGGGGCGCGGTGGATGGAGAGCAGGGGCGCAGCGGAGAGGCGGGCGGCGGATGGAAAGGGTCGGGCGGCGTCGGGCACGCAGCGGATGGAGAGCAGGGGCGCGGCAGCGGATGGAGAGTGGGGGCAGCGGCTGATAGGGTTTGGAGTTGGACTTTTTGGCTCTGTGTTTGGGTCGGGCTGTGTTGTATGGTGGGCCAACACAAAAAAGGAGCGTGGGCTATTATCCTCTTTGGCGCGAACGCCAAATGAAAGCACGCGGCTTTACTCTTCTTAGGCGCGAACGTGAATTCAGCCAGATAGTTTTGCTTGCCGTACATATTTCCTAGCGAGAACAACTATTTCCATGAGAGCTCATGTCACGAAGTAATACATTTTCGCGGCGGTTTGAAGAGCACTCTCACGAAAACAGGTTTTCATGACGGGATTAACAACGCCTCCACAAAAAAGGTTAATTTCGTGAGTGTGTTTTAAACTCTCACGAAAAATTATCCCCTTCATGAAATCTCAGTTTTATGGTAGTGACAGGAAGTCATGGGACGGACGCCTAAGCCATATCATTTTGAGAAAATTGCAATTATAGGACACCAAACAATGCGCTTCGTAATTATAGGACTTCAATCGTCGACTTCGTTAAAATGACCCTTGAAACGTTGGCTTCTTATTTTAGATGACATTTGACATATTTCTTCACTTTGTTAATCAAAATACATGTATTTTAGCCTTCTTGTGACCCTTCTGCCCTTCTGCTTTTATATCGTAGATCGATCATACCAATTCATCTACCCGACGTTCCTCCTTCCCCAACGCCGCCCTAAGCACCGACGCCGTCGTTCCTTTTTTCCCTCCTCCGACGCTTGTTGAGGAAGCCGCAGATGGGTCGAGGACCGCAAAGACGCGCAAGAGCGACCCATCAAGTACGGGCGAAGTCTTTGGGCGTGTCGACGAAGTGGCCCAATGGCCAGCGCGCGGGCTCGAGGGACGCCAGCATGCATCTGCGAGCCCGGAGGCGATCCATGCTCGACGGGACGCAGAGGGGTGGGCCCGCCGCCGTGGTATAGTCTGCCGCGATAGTCAACGAGCGCGGGCCACGTGGGCAAGGCCCAGATCACGGCCCCGTCGCCGATCAGGCCGTGGTCGCGATGGCGGGGGATAGGCCGGTCGACCAGAGCGACGCGGCGGCCATCCAGGTCTGTTTCTGTCTTTTTTGTTGTGTTTCGAGATCGATTAGTCCAATGTTGCTGACCTAGCTAGCTAGCACTCGAGTCTAATTCCAATTTTGTAAATATATATAATTCTAACGTGTCGGCTTCTGCTTGGTTCTCACTTTGCTTTTTGTATTATAAGGTGATGATAGCATAGTAAAATTAGTTGGTGGAGTCTCCAAGAACACTTATTGACTATTTGTTTACGAAGTGTAAATCATTTAGCTCACGGTACTCAGAAGGTCAAGCTGAGTTGCGTGGCCGTATGTACATGTAGAACGCAAGGGAGAGGCTGCCGACGGACAAGGGGCAACGCTGGAGGACACCGAGAGGGTGGTGTCCGCGGAGATACGGAACAAGCTGGACATGACGACCACGCCGGGCGGCGTGGCGGACACAGGTGACTACAGTGGAGGCCTCTCCCGATGCCACGTCCAGTGCTCTAGCCCTAGCCAGAACATTGCTGCCCATTGTTCCTCTTCCATCACTAGAGTACAACCTTCCTATTCTTGAAGTGCAAAGGTATTGACCTTTATGCTTTCCGTTTTTTAACACGATAGTAGTAGACAGTATTTAAACTTGATATCACTTGTTTAGGTCCCAAGTAGATCATGTGGAAAATATGGAAATATTTGATTGGGATAGCATACAGATAGTGGAGACACATGATGACGAAGGTCGTATTGCACTTATGAGTGAGAATCAGATTTGTGAGCTTTTAGGCTTGACAGAGGAGGACACAATAAATATACCTACACAGGACTTTGATTGCCGAATGGATGAATAGGGGCATTATAATGAGCTTGGGCAAGATAATGATGGTGCTGCCATTCCTACCAGTGATGCCATACCAGGTGAAATGGTCATTTCATATGATAAGAACAACCCATCCATGGATTTAGAAATAGTGTACCCAACAATGGAGGAGTTCAAGATGGCAATGCGGCAATTTGCCATCAATAAAGAGTTTGATTTAGGAACAGAGAAGTCATGTAAGACGAGATAGCTACACATTGGATGAATTATTTTAGTTGTGATGAAATGTAAACTCATGCTTTATTTCATATGACTTGGATCTCGTTTGGAACTAATTTATGGTCTTCTGAGATGAACTTGTTTATGCTAGAATCATGGTTTTATAAGATGAGCTCGTTTGTGCTAAATTCATGGTGTTATCTATTACTTGTAATTGTGTATGGATCATCTTTGATCATTTATATTACATATTAACCGTACATTGCGGCCAGCCAGCCCAAGCCACGCCCAGCCAGGGAAAGGCGGCGGGTCCATGCTCGCCACGGTGACCGACTCAGGAGACTAGCGAGGCTGTTTCTGGACACGTGAGGTCCCGTGAGGTTGTTTCTGGACACGTTGAAGAGTTGAAGCTTCGAGAGGTCAAGGTTGGACGGCAGCGTGCCATTCAAGCTGTTGTTCTCCAAGTACAGACTAGCGAGCCTCTGGAGCCTGTTGAAGTCCGACGAGACCCCACCGGCGAAGCGGTAGCTCGAGAGGTCGAGCCGCTGCAGCAACACTACGTAAAAAAAGATTTGTAGGGACGCGGCCCTTTTCACTGTAAGGGCGGCTGGCTCTTTAGCCACCCCTACAGTGGCGCTGCCAGGCCACACCCTATGCACTGGACACCAGCTGCCCCTACAAATGGCATAGTAGGGGCGGCTGGTGTCTCTAGCCGCTCCTACAAATGGAGGTCATTTGTAGGGGTGGCTAGTGATTGAGCCGTCTCTACAGTTGGATTTTTAGGGGCGGCTCAATCACCAGCCGTCCCTACAAATGTGTACAGTATACGTAATAGTCACCACCTTTTTCCTTCTCAGGTCACTCACTCTAACCCAAGAAAAAAAAGGTTGGGAGGCCTTGGGCTCCTCCCAAAAATTGCTCTACTAAGGGGGTAGGTTTTGATCTCAATTCCTTTGGTGGGGAGGTTGTAGAAGGTAAGAAAATGCTATTCCAACTCTTTAATTGAAGTTTTAATGGTTGGTTAGTGAGTAATTTGATTATTGGTTTTCTCTTTCCTCCATGGTGCTTGAGCTTTGTATGTAGCAAATTAGACCCTAGATTTGAAGCTATTAGTGTAAATTAGGTAGAGAAATGAGCTTACACTCTTTATTAGTCGATTTTGCTTGATTTTAGACCCTAGATTACACCCTAGTTTTGATTAAAGCAAATGCATGAGATCTAGTTCTAGATCTAGGTTTTTTTTTTTTTTATTTTTTTAATGAAATTGGATTTTGGGTGGCATGAAAGGTAGTTTTTTAGACCATTTCTTTGTGATGGTATATATTAACCATTTTATATTTCATTTCAAATATTTATGCGTTATATTAGTAGGCAATTGATTAATTATCCTCTACCATGGAGTATATATAATCATTCTCAATTAATTAATTATTAATTTGACTCATTTCGTATATTTTCTTTGGTTGTGTTGTATTTTTAAAAGATGGAGTACAGGAACTCTTGGATGTATGATTCGTTAAGATTCGAGGCACCTTTTCATGAAGAGGTTGACAATTTTATTGAAGCCGCAAAGAAGCATGTAGCGGCGTTGACAGATAATAAGGATACAATTATTTGTCCCTGCAAGGATTGCGAGAACACGGTGGCATTTACAGATTCGAGTATCATCAAAGAACATCTGATCAGGCGAGGATTTGTTCGGAACTACACAGTTTGGATTCATCATGGTGAAACAATGGCAGTTGATGATGATGGCGATGTTCTAGAAGACGATGCTGAAACCCTGCAGTACCTGTCCCAATACTCAGACCAGCTTGCTCAACAAATGGATCATGACTT